AGAAATTAGCATTTCAAGTAGAATTCTGGAGAGTGTTATAAACCGTCAGCTTTTTTTTTTTGCCCTCAGTGCCCAGTTGGGGAGATTTCCTTTTACTTACTGTCTGATGGCCACAACAGGAAGTGAGAGGATATCCCTCCAAAGAGATGGAAATTCCCAGTGGTCACCATTGGAAGATTTCTCATCTATTCCTGTTCGGGTGACAACCCAAAACTTTAGGATTTTATTTAAAATTTTATCAATAACAGACACCAGGACAAATAAAGGGGGGGGGCTCCCTAATGGGGAGCATAGGCAGCAATAAAAACCCGACAGGGGTGCTGATCCTTCACTACATAAAAAAAACAAGTTTTGGCTTAAGTGTCACTTTGAGAAAAGGGGACATTCTTGTGGAGGGTAAAGAGAGAATATCACAGGGTGGAGAGATCAGCAATCAGACTGAGGAGAGAGTTGCATGAGTTAAATACAGCCAGGGGTGTTCATTTTGTCTTCTGGGTGACCCTCTGTCCTTCATCAGACAGCAGGCCCCTCACTTCCCGCCAAATTATACCACGCAGACACCCCAGTCACCCACTGACCTCTCACACCCGTCGGCCTTCCTCGGTGTCCCCGGTCAGGGCAATCCATTGCCCCGGACTAGGTGACCTTCACACCTCCCAGCCCTCTCGCCTTTTCCTCCGGCCTCTCCGCCCATAACGACACTTCCCTCCACGCTTCCCTAACCCTACCACACCGTGCTGGCCCAGGCCGGCCCCTCTACCCACCGAGCGCCCGCTCAGCAGCGCTCTGGCCGCCGCTCCTCCGGCTCTGCATACGGACGCCGCCATCTTTCAGGTGACAGTGAGACTGACCGGCGCATGCGCAGTCAGATGACGGGAAAGGCTGTGCCGCTAGAGCGAGGAGAGAACAGCGACACTGAGCCTGGAGGGGGAACTGCAGCGGGGGGAGGGGCCAAATATTCTACGCCTTCTGACTCCTAAACTGCACGCCCATGATGACTGACAGTGCAAGGCACCAATAGAATTATTGGTGCCCTGGGAGTATTGGTTCTCCCTGATTGGTCAGGGCCGAGCCTAGGAGAGAATCTCTGATATTCTATTGGCACTTCAGTCTGCCTATTACAATAAGCGGGCAGTGTCATCTATGCCAGCGGTCGCCAACCTTTCGGACCTCATGGACCACTAAATTCATCATTTTAAATCCTGCAGACCACTAATATGATTTATATATAAATATATTCTCATATGTGTGTGTGTGTATATACATAGATAGATAGATAGATAGATAGATAGATAGATAGATAGATAGATAGATAGATAGATATTATGATTCAGTGCTCTGTTGCTCGTCTGTTAGCAACTGCAGCCTGTGACCTGGTGTTTGTGTATCCTCGGATCATTGCCGGCTGTCCTCCTGCACATCTCAAAGCAGCTCGCCTGAGTCCCGATCACCGGTTCCTGCACCTAGGCCCCGTGCCCTTCTATCGCCCCTTGCGGGCCCTGTGCTGTCTCAGCTTTCCAACACGCCCACACAGAAATAACGCAAGAGCAATGGAACCAATAGGAGCCTGTGAGGCTGTCAGTGTGGCCACCCAGATTATTTGGTGATATCGATTTTGTTTGGCAACTGTTGTCCACTACAAATTTAGAATCACCACCAGCGCACACGATTTGATTGACGAGCGTTATTTTGAGAAATTATTTACTTTTATAGGTAAGATCACCAGAGGTAATGATGTTTGAAAAAACAATGTAATCTCATTCACGGCAAGGGCTTCTTGACATACTGTGCAGGGTGGAGAGGGCTTTAGGAGTTGGGGAAGTTAGCAGGGATCTCAAGTCTCCCTGATGTTCAGGGAGTCTCCCTCTATTAGATAGCGGCTCTCCTGAAGTCCGCGCGAGAGGCATTTTCTCCCTGAAAGTAAACCTGAGTAAACCCTTCCGATAAGATATCAGTGGGTTTCAGAGTGAGGCTTGCCTCCTGGAGGAAGGTCATGTGATCTCTAGAGTAGCTTCAGAAGTTTCAGAACGAGGCTTGCCTGCTGGAGGAAGGTCATGTGATCTCTAGAGTAGCTTCAGAAGTTTCAGAACGAGGCTTGCCTGCTGGAGGAAGGTCATGTGATCTCTAGAGTAGCTTCAGAAGTTTCAGAACGAGGCTTGCCTGCTGGAGGAAGGTCATGTGATCTCTAGAGTAGC